TCGATTTTAGTTATCTTATTTTTTAGGTCCAGAATTTGCATGTAGTCCTTTATTAATTCCTATATATTTATTGGTACTGTGTATTTGGTAAGACATAATTCTTATACTTCTTTTTCATTTTTTAGATATGCTTTACTTCAGCTCTTTAGGTAGACTTTTACTAGCTAATTTAATGTCTTTGTTGATTAAGTCCAACATTGACCTGCCTCAGAGATATTTTCTATTGAAAATAGAAAATTTTCTATTGAAATATAGAAAATTTCTATATTTTCTTTCTGATGTATGGGCCATAATTTTCTGTTTCTTTGAATGTCTTGTATTTTTTGTTGCTGTTGTTGAAAACTGAATGTTTTATATATAATGTGGCAACTCATTTTTCTGTTTTTCTCAATTCCAAAAGTTTATTGTTGCAGTTGTTTGCTGTTATTGCTGTTTGTCTTAAAAATGATTCTCATGGACTAATTGTGTAAAGTCTCTATTCCCAGCAGTAGGTGGACACTGAAGTTTCTGCTTGGTTATCTTAGTGGTCAGCTATTAATTAGACCAAGATTACCTTCAATGCCTCTAATAAATACATCTCTCACCCTTTGTTAAGGGTGTGTTTGTGTGTGTTGGGGCTTACATTTAAGCCCAAGGTAGTTCACAACACTTCCTTAGCCTTCTTCACCTTTTGATTGGACAGATCCTCAAAGGAACCCAAAGGCAGGATCTTCCTGGTGATACAGTGGCTAAGACTCTGCCTGCCAATGAAGGGGACACAGGTTCAACCCCTGGTCCAGGGAGTTTCCACATGCCACGGGGTAACTGAGCCCACACTCTAGAGCCTGTGAGCTGCAACTACTGAAGCCCATGTGCTTAGATCCTGTGCTCTGCAACAAGATAAGCCACGGCAGTGAGAGACTCATGCACCACAACAAACACCCAGCACAGCCAAAAATTAATTACTTGACAAAAAGAAATCCAGAGGGGAGGAGCCAAGATGGCGGAGGAATAGTACAGGGAGACCACTTTCTCCCCTACAAATTCATTGAAAGAACAATTGAACGCAGAGCAAACTTCACAAAACAACTTCTGATCGCTAGCTGAGGTCATCACGCGCCCAGAAAAGCAGCCCATTGTCTTCGAAAGGAGGTAGGGCAAAATATAAAAGATAAAAAGAGAGACAAAAGAGCTAGGGATGGAGATCCATCCCGGGAAGGGAGTCTTAAGAGGTAGCTTCCAAACACCAGGAAACCCTCGCACTGGCGGGTCTGGGGGAAGTTTTTGAATCTTGGAGGGCAACCTAACTGGGAGGGGAAAAATAAATAAAACCCACAGATTATGTGCCTAAAAGCAACTCCCAGCAGAAAACTACCCCAGAGGCCCACATCCGCCACCACCAGCAAGTGGAGGCGGAACGAAGAGGAGCGGGTGGCATTGCTTAGGGTAAGGACCGGGCCCGAGTCCCCTGAGGGCAATCAGAGGGAGCTTTTGTGAGTTACCAACTTAAACTGTGGGACAGCAAAAGAGAGAGAGAAAATTAACCAGCCCGAACACACCGCTGGCCATTCACAGAACAAAGGGACCAAGCAAGTCCAGAGGAGCTAGCCGGCTGCAGACCGGCCCAGCCCCGCCAGAGGCAGGAGGCAGGAGGCAGGAGGCAGGAGGCAGGGGGGAGGGGAAAGGGGCAGGCTCCGCCCCAAGGACTGCATCCCCTACCACACTGCAAACAGGCCTCCAGTTTCTAACGAAGACTTCCTGAGATTCTGGATGGTCGACATCCGCCGGGAGGGTCGCGGCTGGACACAAGCTGCACACACCCTACCAGCGCAGGCGGGGACTGGGGCTGGGGACACGGAGGGGAGAAGGCGCACGCACCCAACTGGCGCTGGCAGAAACTGAGGCTGGGACCACGGAGGGGAGAAGGTGTGCCGCACCNGCACTGGGAAGACCCAGAGGGATCGGGTGGAGAAGGAGGTGGGAGGGGGGATCGGGATGGGGGATACATGTAACTCCATGGCTGATTCATGTCAATGTATGATGAAAGCCACTGCAATGTTGTGAAGTAATTAACCTCCAACTAATAAAAATAAATGAAAAAAAAAAAAAGAAAGCCAGAGGCAATTGATTATGTTCTATTCAAGTGTTTCATGTGCAGGCAAGCAACTCTGCACAAATATGTAGTTTTCTAGGTCAAAAGGAATTTTCAGAAGTTTTCAAAGAATACTTTGTACATCTCATTTCCAAGATTTCTTTTTTTAGTGTTTTGGCCACATTCTTTAACCCAGTTGCTATCAACACTTTAAGTACATGTCACACTAAAAAAATTCCATGGGTTCCTTTTGGCTACTGTTCTGGAATAGGGCTTACTCCACTGAGTGAGCTCTGAGTTAGCCCTTCCCCCCTGCTATAGACACACACAACACAAATAAGAGTCCTGTAAACAGGACTGTTTCAGGGAGCTTCCAGAGAAGTCAATGTAATAATTTTCTGAGGACAGGACTTTTGGGGGATCTCCAAACCTGTTCTTCCACTAATGCCTGATGGTCTATTTTCAAGCCTGCCATAGTGCTAGTGAGAGAGGTATTGGAAGCTGGCAAGTTAAAATGTTACAAAGCTTGCTGTCCTTGGTGAAAGCCAGCCAGTTTTCTTGAATAAATGTTCTTTGGAATTCTATAAATCTTTGGTTAATTTCCAAAGTTCTAAAAAAATAATTTTGACCATTTTTGTCAGGGTTCCTGTTAATTTTATAGAGAAGCAAATTATTTGAAGGTTTTTCACTTTGACTTTCTGAAGTGTTTTTCCTACATTCATTGATTTTTAAATGTTAACCAACCTTGCTGTTCTTGGATAAGCCCCACTTGGCCATACAGTATTTCTATATATTGTCAGATTTCATTTACTACAATTTTGATTAGATTATTTTCCATTTATGCTCATGAGGAATTTTTTAATATTTTTTAAATGGCATGCTTTTGTTTTTTTAAATCAAGGTAAAGCTGTTCATATAGAATGAGTAGAAAAGTATTTCTTTCTTTCAAATTTTATAGACAATTATGTAGATTGAAATTTTTTTTTATTTCATGTGAAGCTTTATGGACTTAAGAGTTTTCTTTATGGAAAGGATTTTAACCACAAGCTTAATTATTTCATCAGTAGGGTTATTCAGATTATCGACTCTTCATGATTGAATTTTTGTAGTTTGTGTCCTTCAATAAATTTTTCCATTTTAGTTTATAATTAAACAGGACTCTATGGGGCCATCCCAGGACAGGCCCCTGCCCCCATATCCTCTGTCTGCCTCTTGTTTGTAGACAAGGTACAGTCTCTCAGGATTCCCTTGAGTCGCAAAGGTCTGGCTCAAGAATTAATGATTGAAAGGATGTGAACAATATAGTGACAAAAGTAGCATTTGGGCCAGGAGAATTGGTAACAAGTTAAAAAGTAAATCAGTTGTGTGGCAGTCACAGACTCTTTAGCTTCTCTCTGAAGTACCTAAATAACAGTATCTAATGCACATTTACTGAGTTGTTTTACAGTTGCTAAAACATCCACCAAGTGGAGGAAATTAACTCCTTGATGACCATGAACATGTGGCGCCCAGACTTACTAAATCCTGAGGACTGATAATGTTAACCCTTGTGGTAACACCCTGTTACTGCATCATCAGCCAGTAAGAGGGTTCTGCACAAGCTGATCACACGCCCTGTGACTCCTCTCCCTCACTTGCTTTTAGGTGGGGAGAGGTGTGGGAGGGGGGAATGGGTGGAGGGGACAAAGGTATGCCTGTGGTTGATTCATATTGATGTATGCCAAAAACCATCACAATATTGTAATTATCCTCCAATTGAATTACATAAATCTTAAAAAAATTCTTCCCTAAAACCCACTGGGGAATTGGGTATTATAGTCTTTGGACTGAGACAGTATCCCTGACTTCATGGCACTGTACATCTACTAACAGAAATAAATATACAAATAAGGGGTTTTGAGAAGGTATTTTTAAAGTAAAAAGATGTTTTCCATTGTTCCTACTATTCAGATGCTTGCTCAAAGTTTGTTAATGATTGAGGTTCTAGAGTTCATTTCAATATCTGGCTAAGCCAATTTCCTTTTTAATCCATGACTAATTTTTAGTTATTAATCAGTTCTTTAGAATTCTAGAACTATAGTCTATATATTCTATATATATATATATAGATATTCTATTGAATTCTATAGTTCTAGAGAATATATACATAAATAAACAATACATAATAAATACAAGTATAAATACTACTTGATAGAATTTGTGACAGACGTTTGTCAAGAAAAACATTTACTTATTCTTAGGGCATTAATGTCAAAGTCCTAGGTAACACATAAATCTTTAACATAGCTTGCCAGGAAATATATGGACTACACTTTTTGGTGAGGCATATTTCAAGTTTCAGGAAGAAATAATGATGATTCCATATATGATATTAATATTTCATATTTCTCCATTTAATATCTCTAAATAATACTCTTTTTCTAGTACAATACAATATTGAAAATTGAACTATTTTGTGTTTCAAAAGGAACAACATTTATCATATAAAAACTTCATGGTCTTGAAAAGATCTAAAAAGTGCATGTACAACTTTCCATGTTGCAAAAATGAGAGACAACTAATTTATGCTAAAGCAGAAACAAAAATATAATGCACTGAGATCACAATACTTATGAATTACTGTGTTGGTATCCTGAAATCCCGACAACTAAAAAGATGAGGAAAATCTCAAAATATTTTGGCATGTATAGAATTTTACTACAATAATTTTTTGATTCACTATGAAATTGCCAAAAATTCTCTAAAATTTGACATTTTTACATCAAAGCAGAAAAAAGTCAAAACAAAAGAAGAAGTTATAAAGATTTAATAATGTAAGTGACCTTAGTGAGCAAGAGGACACATCACCAAAATATTCTCGAGATAAACAGAGAAACCTCAGGACCTGGTACAGAGCATATGATAAAAAGGATTTCAAATAGCTACTCACCCCATCCTCTGAAGCGGAAGACCTGATTCCAGTCCTGCTGTCTCAGCAAAACATGACAAAAAGGAAAGCAGAGTCTTAGGAAATATTCAATAGCAGAAATAACAAAGAACTAAAATTTGGTTCTATTACCATTATTTACTGCATGCATGTGGTATTCCCTTCTTTAAGCCCAACTTTAATGACACTTTCAGTACCTATCACAGTTGCTTGTCCCCTTCTTAATTTAACCCTTTTCATTTTCTCATTCATTACTCAAGAACTATTTCCTATATACAAGTGTATTTGTTGTTTTTTAAGTGCTTTAGTCATCTCCAACTCCTTTGCAGCCCCATGGAGGGCAGCCCACCTGGCTTCTCTGTAGCCCACCAGGCTCATCTGTCTGGGATTTCCCAGGCAAGAACACTGGAGTGGGTTGCAATTTCCTTCCCTAGGGGATCTTCCTGCCCCAAGGATTAAATCCACATCTCTTTCATTGGCAGGTGAGTTCTTTACTACTGATCCACCAGGAAAGCCACACATGTATATATAGAGTCATGTTAATGACTCTTTGTTCAAAGAGAGCAAAATAAAGCAAAATTGATCACTATATCTTAATGGTATATACTGCCATACAGGATAGGTCACTAGTGCCCTTTTCTTTGAGAAAGAAAAAAAGCATGCTGACATTGGCGTGTTGTCACCGAGGAGTCACCACACAGAGCCAGGCTCTGAGAGTCTCACTTGTTCGGTTAGAGGGGCATTCATCTGGACCTCAGATTGACATCTGGAATGAGTCCCTCAGCATCCTCAGACAGGTTTTCTCATCATCGATCCAGACAAGCACCCTCCCAACAAATAAGCATTTCCATAGCCAGGCTAATTTCCTTCAGGTTTATCTACTGTATTATGAATAAAGAATAGTACCTGGTATAGTACACATTATATTTAGCTCCTGAATAATGAAATTCATATATATATATAACCCTCATATATGAGGAAAACTGTGACTTTGAATTGTTTTAATAAAATTAGATAAAATCTATTGGGACAATAAAGAAAATTTAACTAAAAATTTGAAAATTAAATAATGTAGCAAAGTTATTTGCAGTACAGTTACAGTACAAACATAAGTAGAAGCATCTATGTTCTGAATGTGCCAGATAAAAATTAAAAGTAGCAATGTTTAGCATACTTGCATTTAATTACAAGATTATTGTCATTCAACACAAAACGGTGAAGAAAGGAAATATGAGAATGACTCTCCAAAATTATTCAGGTTACTCTCTATAAAAAAGATTCTAAAAAAGGAAGAAACAATAATCAGAATTCCTTGAACCATATAGAGACATTCATAAGAAAAGATACATCTATCATAAAAGTATTCTCTCTTGCGTCTCTGAAAGAATGACCTCACAGACATTGACTACTGACATCATTAGTCATAAAACACGTAAGAATTACAACTGTACCGGTGTAGCTGCTCACTTTCTTTCCTTGAAAATAACTTGTTCACTTGAAAGGATGGTAACTTGTTCTAGTTTTTGACCTGCAGCAAAACACCACAAAGAAAATAGATCAGATAAAACCATGAATGATTCCATTTTAATTAATCATACAGGCATTTCTTTCCACAAACATCACAGTTGCTTCATGCACTGTCACCCTTCCTATTTCACTTATCTACTTGTTCCCTCTCTGAGTTCTTTACTTTTTGCAAATAGCCTATAATCCTCTCCACTGAACTATGCAAATGACAGAGTAGTTATATGAAATGGAAAATTCTAAAGTTGTACCTAATAAAGACTATATAAAATACCTTATGATATAAAAATATCTTATGATTAAAAAATGCCATGCATGTGGTAGTGTTATTTACAGATATTTGAGGAAGTTATCAATTAAGCCAGTTCTGGGAGTGTTACTTGTCTGAGGCCACTTGGCTGGATTTCAGTAACCCTGATATTTATGCTCATCCTTGATCCAGACAGGACAACTACCAACCAATAAGTATTCCTTACACCATACTAATTCTCTTAAGAATTTAACACTTGCATTCAGCTTATAGGGAAAACAGCACAGGTGGGTACTCGACTTGATTTTAGTAACTTTGGTTATAATGGCAACTCCAGAAGCATCCTGAGATTCTTCTGTCTAGAAAGATACATGAAGTGGTATTGCAGTGAGGTGATTTTCAGTGCTGATATGTATATGTGGTATAATAGAAAGAATCGAACCCAGGTCTAAAGAAACAGTAGTTAACTGTGAATTTAAGCTATATCACATAAAAGATTATTAAAGGATGCAAAATGTGAAATGTGATAATTCTTCTGTCTGATAGATTTATACTCCATAGCCACAGAAGACATGTGTTCACATTGAAACACATAGGATAGGATACATTTTTTAACACATAGAGAAAAACCTACAAAAATCAGGAAACAATTAACAAAACAAAAATAAGAACAGAATTACCAATAATTAGTTGTAATGGACTGACTGTTCCACTCAAAAGACATAAAATGGTGCTAAATAGATATAAAAACAGGATATCTCTCTCTCTCTATATATATATAGATATATACTATATACTACCTATAAACTCATTTCAGATTTAAAGATATATACAGGCTGAAAATAAGGAATAAAAACAGGTATTCCATGTGAATGGAAACAAAAGAAATCTTGAAGAGCAATACTTACATCAGACAAAATAGACTTAAAACAGACTGTATAAGAAACAAAGAAGGATATTATATAATGAATAAGTGATCAACCTAGCATTAAGGTATAACAATAGAAAATATCTATGCACTCAACATAGGATCATCTAAAGACATAACGCAAATAGTGACAACCATAAAGAAAGAAACTGACAGTAATAAAATAACAGTACAGGACTTTTAGGCTTCCCTACTGGCTCAGATGGTAAAGAATCTACCTGCAACACAGGAGACCTGGGTTCAATCCCTGGGTCAGGAAGATCACCTGGAGAAGGGAACGGCTACCCACTTCAGTATCCTTGCCTGGACAGTTCCATGGGCAGAGGAGACTGGCAGGCTACAGTTCATGGGGTTGCAAAGAGTCGGACGTGACTGAGCAACTAACACACACATAGGACTTTTACACCACAATTACCTCAATGGACAGATAGATCATTCATAAAGAAAATCAATGAGGAAGTATTGAGCTTAAATGAAGCATTAGATCATGTAGCCTTAATAGATATATGTAGAACATTCCATCTAAAAGCAGCAAAATAAATATTATTTTCAAATAACATGGAACATTCTCCAGGATAGATCACATGCTAGGCCACAAAAGATGTCTCAATAAATTTAAGAAAATTGAAATCAGATCAAGCATTTTTTTCCAATCACAATTATATACTAGAAATCAATTACAAGAAAAATGGCACAAAATGCAAAAACATGGAGTCTAAACAATATGCTACTAAATGGTCACAGAATCAATAAAAGCAACAATGCTATATGCAAGACAACAAAAGAAACACAGATGTAAGAACAGACTTTTGGACTCTGGGAGAAGGTGAGAGTGGGATGATTTGAGAGAATAGCACTGGAACATGTATATTACCATATGTGAAACAGATCACCAGTCCAAGTTCGATGCATGAAACAGGGCACTCAAAATTGGTGCACTGGGACAGCCCTGAGGGATGGGATGGGGAGGGAGGTGGGAGAGGGCTTCGGGATGGGGGGAAACACATACACCCATGACTAATTTTCGTCAATGTGTGGCAAAAACCACCACAATATTGCAAAGTAATTAGCCTCCAACTAAAACAAATAAATTAAAAAAATAATATACCTGAAGACAAATGAAAATCTAAAGACAACATTCCAAAATATTAGCCACAAAAGCAGTTCTAAGAGGAAAGTTTATAGTTACACAAACCTACTTCAGAAAACAAACACATCTCAAACAATACAAAATTATATCTAAAGGAACTAGAAAAAAGAGCAAACAAACTCAAAAGTTATTAAAAGAAAAGAAATAATAAAGGTAAAAGTGGAAATAATAACAGAGATTATCTAGGGTGAAACAGATAACCTGCCCAGGTTGGGTACATGAGACAAGTGCTCGGGCCTGGTGCACTGGGAAGACCCAGAGGGATCGGGTGGAGAGGGAGGTGGGAGGGGGGACCGGGATGGGGAATACATGTAAATCCATGGCTAATTCATTTCAATGTATNAAAAACCTAGAAAAAATGAATCAGTTCCTAAAAATATGTAGTCTGCCAAGACAGAATCAGAAAAAAAACAGACAGTATAGACACCAAATTAGCAGTAATAAAAAAGAATCACTAATTTTAAAACTCCTAACAAAAATAGCAAGGACTAGGTGGCTTCCTAATTCCTAGGATTTAGCCTAGGAATGCAAGGGTGGTTCAATATCCACAAATCAATCAATGCGATATTCGTAGCAAATTGAGGAATAAAAATCATAAAACCTCAATAGATTCAGAGAATGCTTCTGACAAAATTCAACATCCATTTAATAAAAACCCCAACAAATTAGGTATAGAATAAACACAACAAAATAAAGGCCATTTATGACAAGCGTAAAGCTAACATCAATTCAGTGGTGAAAAATTAAATACATATCTGAGATCAGGTGTAAGACAAGGATACCCATTCTTACCACTTTTATTTAGCATAGTATTGGAAGTCCTAGCCACAGAAATCAGACCAAAAGTAAAACTAAACTGGAAAGAAGTAAATCTGTCACTGTTTACAGATGACAGGATGCTATATATAAGAACTCCTAAAGACATCACCAAACAACTACTGGATATCTTCAGTGGCTTTAGTAGAGTTACAGGACACAAAATTGATAAAAATCTGTTGCATTTCTATATACTGATAGTGAAGTCTCTCAGTCATGTCTGACTCTTTGCAGCTCCATGGACTGTAACCCACCAGGCTCCTCTGTCCATGGGATTTTTTTCAGGCAAGGATATTGGAGTAGGTTGCTATTTCCTTCTCCAGGGGATCTTCCCAACCCAGGGAATGAACCCGGATCTCCCACATTGCAGGCAGAGCTTTACTGTCTGAGCCCCCAGGGAAACAGCATATACTGACAACAAAGCATCAAAAGAGAAATTAAGGAAACAATCTGATTTATAATTGCATCAAAAAGAATAAAATACCCTGGCATAATTCTAACCAAGGAGGTAAAAATCTTTCACTCAAAAAACTATAAGACACTGATGAAAGAAATTGAAGATGACACAAATAAATGGAAATATACTTCATGCTTATAGATTGGAAGAATTAGTATTTTTAAAATGATCATTGTATGCAAGCCAACCTTAGATTCAATTCAATCCTTATGAAAATACCAATGGTATTTGTTTTTTACAGAGCTAGAACAAATAATTCTAAAATTTGGAAACTTAACTCCAACTAACCAAAACAAGCTTGGATGTACATATACAACTGTACATCAGAAAAAAACACTCAATTAAAAAATAAGCTGGGGACCTGAACAGACATTTTTCCAAAGAAGATATACAGATGGAAAACAGATACATGAAAAGATGCTAACATTAATAAACATCAGGAAAAAGCAAATAAAAACCAACATAAAAGACTACCTTACACCTATCAGAATTACATTAAATAATAAAAAAGACAACAAATAAGTGTTGTTTAGGATGTGGTGAAAAGTGCACTCGTATGCATTGTTAGTGGGATTGCAAACTGGTGTAGCCACTATGGAAAACAGTATAGAGATACCTCAAGATATTTAAAATACAATTGCTATATAATCCAGCAATGTCACTGCTGGGTATTTACACAAATAAAACAGAGATCCTAATTGAAAAAATATATATTCACCCCCAAGTTTATTACAGCGTTATTTACACAGCCAAGATGTGGAAACAGTTTAAGTGTCATTGATAGATGAATGAATACAAATATATGAAATAAATATATATATGCATATATATATATGCAATTGAATATTACTCATCCACAAAAAGAATACAACTGGAAATTTATGAAAACATAGATGGACTTATAGAGTATTATGGTAAGTTAAGTAAGTCAAACAGATAAAGACAAATACCATATGATCTCATTTAACTGTGGGATCAATTATCAATACAAGCAAAAGACCAACGCAGACTCATAAATACAGAGAAAAAAATTGGTGTTTTCTAGAGGGGTGGGGGTGCATAGGTAAAGTAGGTGAAAGGAATTAAGAAGTATGAATTTTAAGCTATAAAATTGATAAGCCTTGGGAATGTAGTATATAGCATGAGGAATATGGTCAATAATATTGTAATGACTACATATGAAGACAAGTGGTTACTAGATTTATTGTGGTGACTATTTCATAATGTATGTAATAAGTGTCAAACGACTGTTAGCACACCTGATACTAACATAATATTGCACATCAATTGCATTTCAATAAAAATAAATATTAATACATTAAAAGCTACAGTGACACCAATTTATAAGGAATTGAATACTCTAGGATTCTATTATTCTTGTGGTTCCTGGAACAAATCCCCTG